AAAGGACTTGTGTCGCTAGAGTTTCGTGGGAACGAAGTTACGGAAAATCAACTAACGAACAGAGACGTAACAATATATTATTACTATTTATAAATAAATATTTTAATTTCAGAACAGTAAATAAAAAATATTCGGAAAATAATGATCTCCACTAATTACGATGTTTTAAAGTTATTTTTTTTGCACTCATGCGTCATACTTGCTAACTCTTATTGTAAGCCTTGTCCAAATTCATATGTTGATGTAGAAAAAATAATTTTTGTAGCATTTATATAACCATTTTTGAATACTAAAAATTTATAAATGACTATACTGACATCACAAAAATCTATTGTAATTTACCAGGCTTCCTAACTATGCTGTATTTGGGTCTAAAAAATCAAATTTCTATTTGGAAAATAGCATTTATCATAATACTTCAAACTCTCCAACAGTATAAGAGCTTTTCTCTAGGAAATAACTCAGAAAGACTAACAGAATTACGTAGAGGAAATGTACAGTTTTCAATTAGTTATAAATTTATAGGTATTAAAAAGCAGGCTTAGATAAACAAGTCTTCTCAAACAATGAAGTGGTGGGTGGAGCCAATATGGTGGATTCAATAAATATTATGATATCTCAGCAAATAGAAAAAGTAAAGAGGTTCTTATTTTATATTCTATCTTGCCAATATCGAAAATTGGAGTTAATAATTTGCATAAAACTATAGACATTGTATTGTTGGTGCCATAAAATGTAATCTGACCAAACCCAGAAGATGACATACCAGTTTGACATATAAAAAACTGATATTTAGCAATTTTTTTTTCATTTACTTTCAAATTAAGAAATTAACTAATGTATAATACTAAAATTTGAATCAAACCCTACAATTTGATACCAAGTTTACTGACATACACTGATAAAATAGTTAAATAAAATTTTGAATGCAAGTCTACAAATGTGATGACATGCCCTCTAACCTCTAAGCTGTGCAGACATGAACAACCAATCAAGTGCCACACACACATCCTCAGTAACCATAAGGATTCTCAACACATTGACAGCCTTAATGACCTTGGCAGTTGATAGGACAAATACCCAAATAACCAACTAGTAGCATTGCAAAGCAGCCTATTGATCCAATAGCGTTGATGGTCTAAAAATACCACCCACCCCTTAAAAAAAACTAGTAGCACACATCTGCACATTGCCATGATATTGGTGCACATGAAAAGATTCATTCCATACATGGATTGAAAAAATTAAAGGGAACCTTGCCTCTGACCCCTAGCTACCCATATCGATAGACTAGAAACATCTGTGACTGGTTTTCTTGGAAATATTCTTGACTGGCTTTATTAATTACCATACTTGTTTGAGCAAATCTTTTATGACTTTTTCTAATTACCCAATTCATTTTGGTTAAAAAATATCCATGATTGGTTTTACTGTTTACATGACTTGTTTGAGATAAACATCCACAGTTGATTTCACCATTTTCCAGACTCGTCTCGACTGGAATCATTCAAGACTGATATACTATTTTTCCAGACTCGTCTGGACTGGAATCATTCAAGACTGATATACTATTTTTCCAGACTTTTCTGGACTGAAAACAGCCATGACTGCATTTAACAGCTCACCAAACTTGTCTGAGATGGATACACTTACGAACAACTTTACAATTTACCTGACATTTTTTTAAAGAAAGAAATTCCATGTGTGTTTTTAGAACTTACAATGACCGATTTTACTAATTCCTGACTTTGTTGATGCTAGATGCTTCCAAGGCTGGTTTTTACTATTCT